AGGTTTTTATTAGAAATTATAACAAGTGTGGTTATATAAGACTATAACAAATCGTATACTCATCAAAGGCGTGCATTTGATCTTATAAACGACATGCAAGCATGTAAAGTACATGCAGATCTTAAATGGTGCACTTATAAACCACATGGGCCAGATGATTTCTAAGAGCTTCAGTGACAGAAAATACAGCAAAGTCTAACAGTTCTCTCTACAGCAACCTCGGATGCGTTTGATTGCAAAGTAAGAAACTCTTCATGTAATTTATTCTGTTTATAATTTACAGTCCTGAGTCCAGTGTAGAAAAAGACAAGAGGAGCATCCATCCGATTCCTCGACACGACGTGACTTACATTCTACAAAGTGTGGAGGACCTGAGCGATCAGATCGTTGACTATAATCTCCATGCATCGCATACGTCTGCTGTCAGTATACATGTGTGGTTGGTGTGTGTTGGGGCCAAGCAAAGATCTGTGCGACACACAACAGCAAAGAGCAGAACCCGGAGAATAAGGCATGCTGCTTCTCCTGACGTGCACGTTATGTGGAGAAGGACACGGCTGTAGATGGGAAAACTAAGAGCATGCACAAGCTAACCAGCCAAGTGCTGCGATGTAGACTAGTGAACTGAAATTACGTCACTGTGATGTGAAAATAGAAGATTTTAAATTGAACTTTGGTGTTTTTCTCGTCAGACAAATCTACTGTCTTTGCATATAGAAAACCTTTTCAGATCCGTTTGTGTAAACCCAAAACTACGTGGTGGCAAAGTTTAAGACAACGACTGCTTTTCTTGGAGAAAAGCTCATATTTTTGGAGGCAGTCCTCACTATAATTCATAATGAATTTGAAAAAAAACAGCCACTATCCAGTCAGCTGTAGCGCTGCTCGGCAGGTGGCTTAACAAGTAAAGTACAATATTTTGTAAAATGAACACATGAAGATCTTAAAGTCCTGTGCTGACTGTGCTCCAGTGAAGTTACTGTTAAAATGCATGCAAACGCTGAAAGAACTGAAGCACGACGCCTTAAAAAGAATCTCCCGTTTAGGTGTCAGACGTGGCCGAACGTTGAGATGAAACGCTGTCAGGCAGAAGAAGTTCAGCTTATAAAATCTGAATGAGTCTGGAGTTGTGAGGCCTCAATATGCAGATTTCTGCTGCAGTGACACATGCCAGATGCTCGTCAACTGGGAGGTAGTGGAATCCAGAGAAATGTTCTGTTCTGGCTTGCAATAAAAGTGCCTTAATCCAAAGAGTACACTGTGTTTTTGTGGCAGGCGTCCTGTTTCTCCATTGGTTAGCTCTTCGTGAGGTGGAGCTTGCGGCCAAAGTACTCTGGCGCCGCGTCCAGCAGCCAGTCGGCGTCGACCAAACACAGGTCTCTCATGTAGCAGCGGGACGTGTGCAGCAGCTCATTGAACACCACGTACGCTGGCTTGGCCTGGAAAAGGACGGAGGAGGGGTGGATGGACACGGGCTGGTGGGTGTCCAGAGCCAAATAGCTGCCGTCGTGCTGCAGCTCCGCAGCGTTGATGAACATCCCGTGGGCGAGGCAGCGGCGGACGTTCCCCGTCTCCGCCCCGCACGACTCCAGCTTCAGATTCAGCTGTTAAGACGACAAGGTAGTTTCGTCATCAGTAAGTAATGAGCTGCTGTGATCCAAAACAAATGGCAGTAAGGGAATCTCCTACAACATAAAGACACTGTCGGATATTTTATTAAGCAAAGCTGCACTTTACACAACAATAATAAGTCATTATGCCTGCAAACGGAGCTCATGATGGGAAGTAAATGCAAAGTTAGAGACCAGTTCCTTCCAGTTGATATGCTTAATAAATTGATTCCTTCACACAGGCTGCAACTTACCCATCTGAAGCCTATAAGTACCCAATCAGTGACTGTTGACCACACAGACTGAAAGGCAGTGTGGCTGCACTCACACAGGCACCTTTGCTTTATTCTTTCATGAATCGCTGCCACAGTATTTAACTGTGAAACCACACAGAACTCTCACATTCACACTGTTTTTTATTGATTGTAGCAGATGTGTACCTTAAGGCAGATTTCTCTGAGCTGAGCCTGGACCTCTTTCACCAGACCCATGTTCCTGCCGTTGACAAAGTTCTCCCGACACCACTCCTGTACCGGCAGACATACAGCAGGTCATCAGGTAGCTCAGCAGCAGTTATTTTTGCAGCTTTCAGTTACATGACAGTCTCTTCGCTCCCCTGCTGATCCAGCCGTACCTACCTTGTTACCGCTGACTTTCTTGAACGCTCTGTAAATGTTGAGCAGCGTCATGTGGTCTCCTTCGCTGGAAGTGAACTTCTTGCGTGCAGCGAGCACCTCCTCCCGCCGGGCTGGAGGGTTGTACAGAACCGTGTCCACTGACAGCAGCGACACAATGCTCAAAACCTCCTCGGAACAGGAGTAGTCCGGGGACAACAGGATGGTCTGTGAGACAAAGCAAACAAGGCAGGGAAGTGTTACACCACACTATGCACACGCTCTGTGATTTGCACGAGAGCCAGGTGGCACTGTGGGCTACAGGCTGTCCCTTCATCTTTGACTGAGTCTACAACTAAAGTTACCACCTTGTGCGCCTCCACCAGGCACTGAAGTTACAGTTTACATCTATGTCTGTCCAGATTCATAATATATGGAGTTAGGAATTTAACAGATGGGCACCCAGGGCGAGTGTCACCAAATCAGTGTCCAACAAACTGTGAAATATAGTCATAAAGTCCCTTCTGTTCCTCAGTTATTGTGTTAAATAATGGGCAGAAAGATGTTTTGATACAGTCACCTCATCATTTCATCCAGTTAGACCACTGTGTGAAATTTTGTCATAATTACCAAATTAATTCTTAAATTATGGCTAAAAAAAAAGTTTTTTTTTGAGGTCACAACAATCTTTGACCACCAAAATCTGATGCGTTCATCCTTGAGTCCAAGTGAAGAGTTGTGGAAAATGTGAATACTTTTTTTCAGCGCATTCACGAGAATGGACCGATGTAAGAACAAACCAAGCGGCAACCACGTGCCAAAAACTGCTTGAGTGGCCACTTGGGGTTGGCTTCAAAAGCGACTCAATCTTCGTTAAAGCCCGTCTACAAGGGTCCGTACTATGAACAGAGCTGTGTGTCTGTCCACTCTCCACTTTCAAAGCCCTAATTCGTCGTGAACACAGACGCAGAAAGCTTGACTTGGCTCTTAGAGTATAAGCTTGCCGTTTGGTTTTCTCTTCCCCTTCCACTGCCTGCAAGTCAGTGTTTTCAAAATCCCTGCAGTGATGGTAAACAACCTCCGAGCAGCAACCTGCACATTGAAAATGGTACGTTTTTCCAAGGATTTGGATTTTGCAGTAAAGCGATACAAACAGGCCTGGGTATTTATTTCCCCTACAGCAGAATGATAATGTAATATTGTAGAAATAAGGCGAGACCAGTCTCCAGGGCTGACACATCGCCGTGGAGACGGGTCGAGATACGTCAGACTAGTCAAAATGTCCAACTTCACAGCCTGGTGCAAAAAGAGTTCTGTTCTCTACAGATAACTTCCCTGTTCATGACAACTGGACTTTTTTTTCTGCCCTTTTTGCCTTGATCAGTCAGGATAGTGAGAGAGCGAGACAGGAAAGTTGGGAGAACCTGCAGCAAATGACTATGAGCAGGACTCGAACCAATGACTACCGCGTCAGGGACTATAGCCCCTGTTTATGGGTCACCCACTCAACTAGGTGAGCTATAGGGGCGCCCACAGGAGGTATATTTTTAAAAAGCTGTCCCACCTAAACTGTATTTAGGCTCAAAGTTATGCATTATGAAGAGCGTGGCCAATCTGAATGACATGTGGGCGATGTCATGGGTGCCTCAGCTCCACTCACACCAGCTTTTTGCTCATCTTTAACCCTGAGTAAGGAGACGTCAGGCACTGCTGAGTTGGTGATGATTGGATCCACCTCACCAAATGTCAAGACCGCCCCTTCAGAAACCAGTGGACGATGTAATGAAGGGTTAAGTCCATCTCTAGGTTCAGTCAATTCGACAGACAACCAGAAAACATACTGCTTCCTGTTCTGAGGAAAGAGCAGTACCAGCATATCTTACCTTGGCATATCTGGGCTCCAGAGGGAAGCTGGCCATCTTCTTTCCCAGAGCAGTGAGGAAAACCTGCCCCTCCTTCCTCTCCAGAGCTCCCAGCAGCTCCAAGTGCTCCACAGCAGACCGCACGGCCTCTGAGATCAACGTAACATGTTACTATGAGGACGTCACCACCTCCAGGGTGACCACAAACACAATGATTAATGATCAATCATCTCTTACCAGGGGAAGGTTTGGACATGAAATCAAAATTCATCACATCTGGAATGCCCAGAGCCATGAGGTGCAGCATCACACCAGCTAGGTTACACCTGCAGGACACACACACACACAGATGAGAAACACAGCAGAGGAACTGAGCATTCAATCACGCTGACCTGAATACATCAGCATGTAGGTGAGACTCCTGCAGATCGGTACACGCTGCACTGAGCTTCAGCGTCTGCGTGAAGCCAAACACTTTTTTTTCAATTCAATTCAATTTTATGTGTATAGCGCATATTTACAACAACAAGTAATCTCATAGCGCTTCACAAAGGCAGAGACCTCTGGATCTCAGGCACAGTCATGGGGATAAAGTTGTCGAATTCCAGCTCGGTGTAGAGACGATAGCAGGAGCCCGAGTCCTCCCTGCCGGCTCGGCCCGCTCGCTGCCACGCTTGTGCTTTAGAAACCCGCTGCACCGCCAGCACCTCCAGACCGCTGTCTGAGAGTCACACAACAGTTAAAACAGTTAGACGATCCGACACAACAACAACAACAACCGTGTACAGTCATGTGGAAAGCTAAGCTGGAAAGTGTCGACTTTCTCAATGTGTCTGAACAAGCAGACATTTGATCCTCTGTGAAACGATGCATACAAGGTTCATGTAATCAAACAGATGACAGAAAAACAACAGTTTGTGCCATTTTTGTAATTTCAATGCATAATTGTGATAAAAACAGATCAGCCTCATGGAAACAGGAAGTACATGTATGACACCGTTACAGATTCTTTACAGAATAATTAGAATCCCTTTTATACACCTCCTACTGTCAGTGATGAAAGAAGTGCTCAGATTATTTGTACCAAAGAACTAAAACAGCAAAGTAAAAAATTCAACAACGAGTTAAAGTCCTGCTGTTAAAATACAACTATCACATCCAGTAAGGTGGTTTGTTCCAGTAGTTCCCAACCTGATGGTGTCGCTCCTCCAAGAGGTCACAACATAAATCAAAGATGAATCTAAAAACAAAGCTCTATCTCACAAATCTGCAAATTATGTGGTCCCCAATAGTTGTTTGAATGAAGCTCTATGAGAAGGTTAGAAGGAGAAACTTTCTGGCTGAACAGCCAACAACTCCCCTGACTTTTAGTGAGGAGTTGAAAAACAATGTTTGTTTTTTTCCCACACTAAGAAAGTCGTCTCCATAGCTGCCAGATAAAGAGGAAAAACCTAAGATTTGTCTCTGAAATGTAGAACAGTTAAAGTATTAAGTTACATCACATGTAAATACTTGAGTAAAGTACAAGTACTTAGCTACTTCCCACATGCTGATGTGTGCGTTACTGTGTATGAAGACTGAATCATCTCACCTGGATTGAAGCGTTTGGCCTTCACCATCCCCGTGTCTATGACGTATTTGATCCCAGAGATTGTCACTGACGTCTCAGCGATGTTGGTTGAAAGGATGACCTTCCTGCAGCCCTGAACAAAGTTAGATAGGACAAACATTTTGAGGAGACAACACCAAATGTCTAAAACTGAAAACTTTGTTGAGAGCAGCAGTGCACATAGCTGAGGCATCCTGTCCTTTTGTCGGTGCTACTCTGCTGATCTCCTGCGTGTTTGCTGTTGTATTTACCTTGGGAGCTGGCTGGAAGACCCTGAGCTGCTGTGCTGGGGGCAGCGATGCATACAAAGGGATAACTACCATGGGGCCACAGCCATCCGGCAGATGCTTGGCGATGTCCCGGCATGTCCTCGCCAGGGCCTCGATCTCCTCCTGGCCCGTCATGAAGACTAAGATGTCATGGGACGGAGGTGCCTCCTGCACGCAAGCAGTAAGACCGGGTGTCACAAAGAATCATCCCAGTGCACGAGCATGCACCCAGACTGTTTACTCACAGGCCTGTGTTCCTCATGAAGCCGGAGGAAAAGGACTCTAGTGTGTGTTTGGTTTTGATTTGCGCTTGACCTGCTTGAATGTTATTAAGATTGTGTCTTCAGCTGTATGTTGTGCTTCATCCTCTCTACTTTGTAGCTCTTTGAATGTGTTTCTGGCTCTGCAGCTACTGGTCCCAGCAACTCTACCAGTGTCTATGCTCTCTTGTCCGTTGACCCTTTTCTTCCTCCCCTTTAAACTCATCCTGGTCGAGGCAGATGGCCTCCCTCAGCCTGGTTCTCCTGAGATCTCACCTGTTAAAGTGAGTTTTACCTCTTCACTGTCACTGATGTGCTCTCTCATTGGGGTTTGTTGGGTTTACCATGAATACTATCTAAACTTTCTTTTTAAAACATAGGCAAATTGATATAACACGTAGCTTTGTAGATTCTTAACCATAATATTTAAATTAGATTAATTTGTATTATATTAATATATAGCAGCTGTACATTTTTCCCTTTTCTCTGTTAATCACTTTGTGTTACTTGTCCTTGTATAAAAAGTGTCACACAAATAAAGTCTGATTGACTGATAGTGTGTACGTGTGGAAAACCTAACTGCATCCTATTGTGAATTACTTGAACGGAGTCCTCCCAGCAGACTAGAGAGTAGTAGAACAGCAACAACTACTCATCTGCAGTATCCCCAGCTGTCTGTGTAAGCATCAGCATGGACGTATAATCAATCAATCTGTTGTTTTAAATGTAGTAACGGCAATTTGACCTGCTTTAAACTGGAAATACAGCTGATTATTGAGGACTACCTGGTGGATCTGGAAGACGGAGATGAGTGCAGCCTGCAGGTAGTCTGACTGGGGCTGCTTGGTGTAGTAGATCTGGATGGGATGCTGCCTCCCCTCCAGGTACAACACGGGCGACTTGTTGAAGTACTCGGAGAACAAATCCACATCCATCGTGGCTGACATCACTATGACCTGTGCAGGTGAGACAAACAGGAGAAGTTGACTTTTAGACGTTTAAACAAAAAAAAAAAACTGTATGAGAATCAAAGCAGAGCAAATGTACTGAGTGTTATTGCCCTGTGTTAAGTGTTTCAGTAAAAGACAACTGGACTTATTTCTGCTTCCTGAAGACACCTCCTCTCTCATGCTGGAGGCTTCCTCAGTTCCACTGACCGGTGGGGAGCTCAAGGTGTTTACTGTCACCCCCAACCCACCTGGCTCATGGCCTGTTATGACCAGAGACTCCCATAACTCATATGTGAATTGTTGTGAAACTGCCTGGGGATGGATCTCATCACTGCGTTACTAGTGTCTGATAAGTGGTGTTGTAAACTTCTTCCTATATTTAGAGATGGTCGTTCCAGTATAAGTGGCTTCCTTCCCCCCTCTCTCAACCCATCTGTCTTCTCTGGACATTGTTGTCCTTAAACAAGTGTCTCTTGTCCTTTAGATGAAGTGCTGAGTCTGTTTACGGGGAGCTGGCTCTGTTGTGGTCTTGTGGAGCTGTTGTTTGGTCTCTCCTATATATAGCAGGTCCTTGTGAGCCACGTGATTTAAAGTGGAAATAAATACGTGACACTCCTCCACAGTCAGGGAGAACTGAGGAAGCCTCCTGGATGAGCACTTAGGATGGAAGCACTTAGGACTACCCTGACCTGCACGACTGTGTACATGCACAGACAACTTTAAAAGAAAAAAGAACAACTGGACCTGTCCTCCTACCTTGAGAGGAACCTTGTTGAGCTCTCTGCGCCTGCGCTGAGCGGTCTTAACCACACCGAACAGCACATCGGTGTGCACGGTGCGCTCGTGAGCTTCATCCAGGACCACCACGGTGTAGCGCAGCAGCAAGGGGTCTCCGATGGCCTCACGCAGGAGCATGCCATCTGTCATGAACTTCAGCTTCGTCTCAGCGGAGGTAACATCCTCAAAACGCACCGTGTAACCAACCTAAAAAAAAATAAAGACACTATTTACTAGAAGCATTACAGGATGTGACATGTTGCATGATTCTGAGTGTTATTTAAAAGGCCCCATGCAGTGAAAATCCATCTTTATTGTTTCTGGTTTGTCATAAACTTGGAGGTGTCACTAAAAGTTGTTCATATTTGTAAACATCCACTTCTGCCATTCCTTTAAGCCCCCAGCTTTATAAGTCAGTAATAACTTGACCTTGGTGCTACATATCACCACCAGTCAAGCTCACACTTTGTCTAACGGTGTCCTCCCACTGCTTCCAGGTGAACCATTCAGACTGAGCATCTACTTCACAGTCCACTAAGTTCATTTACTTTCTAGGGCTGCTTCTGCTAATTTCAAAATGTTTCAGCCATGCACGCCCAGCATGTGTGGAAGTGAAGACGCAATGGATTTCTTGTATTGTTTGTGGCGATGTCACCACAGCAATAGCAACATTCTGAGCGTTATGAAGTTGTGCAGCTCATGTCGTTAACCTAGCTTTGATTGTTTGCCCACTGGTCAGAACTCTGTGAAAGCTGTAA